CCCAGCAACACCCCAGCTGCTCTGTCCCAGGTGTCCCCAAGTCAGCTGCTGCTGAAACTGACCAGCGGCTGATTCCAGGAAGCTGGGGCAGAGCAGCTCTGTCTCGGGCTTCCTGGAGTCAGCCGCTGGTCAATTTCAGCAGCGGCTGAATCCGGGACAGCTGTGGTGCTGCCGGGTTGGTCCCGCAGCCCCGAGGGGCAGTGCAACTGGACCTACCCGGCAGCACTCCAGCTGTTCTGCCCCCTGCTTCCCGGATTCAGCGCTGGTCGGTTTTAGCAGCGGCTGAATCGGGGAAGCTGGGGGCAGAGCAGTTCCAATGGTCCGGCTGCCTGGAGCACTTCCGGGTTCCTGATGGTGCTGGACCATCAGGAGTGCCAGACCGTCAGATGCCGGACTATCGGAGTTTTACTGTAGATGGTCATGTAGACTGCATGTGGTCGGGAAGTGCCCCACAACTGCTCAGCAGCTCGTGCTAGGGCACAGGTCATTGATGAACGTAACCATTGCCAAGCTGGGTTAGTCCACTGGGCCACTGCACCAACTACTGTGCCAGCCAACTGCCTGCCAGAAGCTAGAGGCAAGAAATGTAAGTGGGGATAAGAGGCAGCTTTGTCGTCGCCTTGGCTAATCCTGTAAACCTCCTTGCAGGAGGCATAAGGGATCTGTGGAAAAAAGCTTTCTTTCTCGACAGATCCCCCTCTAGACTGCCTCTTTTTGCCGACAAAGTGCTCAGTCAGCAAAATGATGGCCATTTAATGCAAATTAGACATGGGATATTTAAATCCCTGCTTCATTTGCAATGTCGACCTGTCTAATCTGCATCCCTCTGCCGACAGAGGGATGCAGTCTAGACATACCCTGAGAGTGTTCTTATCTGCATGAATGTCTAACTCTTGTGAATGCTGGTAAGCCTTTGGCTTCAGTGATATCTGGTGATTGCAAAGCCCTCAGGTTTACGGGCATTGCAGGAGAAAATCTTTTCTGTCCTTAGTTTTACATTTCTGTGTCAGTTTCGTTGAATGTCCCCTTGTATTATAAAAGGGTGACTAGGCATCCGTACCTCACTGATTAATTTGGGAGCCCTGAGTACCTCTCGTTTGTCTCCTACAGAAGCTGTTGGTCTTTTCACTCTCTCCAGACAGCAGCTGATTTTTGTAGCCCTCTTGTTGGGATGAGCAATCTACTGCGAGCACACAACTCCAGTTCTTTTTTTTGCACTGATTGCTCGTTGGGTTTGACCAATAAAGCCCGGAATGGCTTGGAACTTGTCTCCCTGTGTGATTCTCCTGTTGAGAGGCTCGTGCATGAGAGAGACAGCCTCCAGCAGGCATGCTCCATAAAGACCCATGCCCTTGCGTCCTGCAACCCAAGCCAGCCATGCCCATCTGCTGGCCATAGTCCAGTGCCCCAGTTCCCTAAGGCAGTGTCCCACAGAAGCACTAGAACAGCTCAGCTGCAATTGTGCCTCTGTAGTGTTCCAAGTCTAGGTAAGTCCTAAGCCTTTCTTGGGCAGGGTTTTGTTCTTTTTCTCCTGGCCTCTCCTCCTGCTACTCAGATACGCACAGTACATAGCAATCTAGTGAGCTTCAGGGCATGCTGAGACGCAGAGCCGCTGGGTAATTTATTGCTTAAACCAGCCTCTGTGCCAGGTGACTGGCTGGTAATGACTTAATACTTGTTTTTAATGGATCCTGGCATCTACAGGCAAACTGGTTGAAACTCTAGTAAAGAGCAGAATTATGAGACACAGATGAAGAAGTATGATGAAGGAGCATCACCACAGCTTTTGTAAAGCGAAACCATGCTTCCCCGATTGTGAGCATTCCTTACAGCTGTAAACAGATGTGGACATGGATGAGCCCGTGGATGTAGTGTAGTTGGAATTTGAGAGCTTTTGGTAAGGTCCCTTATTGAAGGCTCTTAAGCAAACTAGGCAGTCATGAGAAGGAATGTCAGTAATTACTAAAAGGGGATCCTACTATTGACCATTTATTCCTGCCCTTGGGTCCTAAGGCTCTGTACTGGGGACCTGTGCTATTCCGCATATTCAGAAAGGGTCCGGGAAAAGGGGTGAACAGTGAGATAACTATCTTAAGACATATTGTTAACTCCTCAGTCAACTTGGGACTTACAGAGGGGTCATACTAAACTGGGTGATAGACTGGCAGATGAAATTCAGTGTTGATAAATGCAAAGTAATACAGATTGGAAAACATAGTCCCAACTTGACATCAAATGATGGGGTCTAAGTTAGCTGTTTCCACGCAAGAAAGAGATCTCTGAAAACATCTGCTCAGTGTGCCATGGCAGTCAAAATGGCTAATAGTGTTACGAATCATTAGGTAATGGATAAATAATAAAACAAAATATCACCCTGCTATATGAGTCCATGGTAGGCCCACACTTGAATTTTGAGTGCAGGTCTAGTCACCTCACCTCAAAAAAGATGTATGAAAATTGAAAAAGGTGCGGAGCAGGGCAGTGAAAATAAGGGGTATGGAATACCTTGCATATGATGAAACAGTTGAAGGGGCATGTGACGAGTTGGTAAAGTCATGAATGGTACAGAGAAAGAAGAGGGAGGTTATTGACCCTTTCCAATGACACAAGAATCAGGGGTCAGTCAATGAAATTAATAGGCAATGCGTTTAATAAAAATATAAGGAAGCATTTCTTCACGCAGCACAAAGTTAACTTGTGGAACTTGTTGCCAGGGGATCTTGTAATGGTCACAAGTATAACTGGGTCAAAAAGCACTTGATAAGTTCCTGGTGGATAGTTCCATGAATGGCTATTTGCCAAGATGGTCAGGGACACGGTGTGCCTAAGCCTTAAACCGCCGGAAGGTGATGAGTTACTCAAAATTGCATGTTCTGTTCATTTCCTTTAAAACATTTCACATGGGCAATAGTTGAAAGACAGGACCCTGGGCTAGATGAACCATTGATCTGACCCAGTGTGACAGTTCTTATTGCAGGCCGTTGTGGGGGTCAGAGGTTCAGGTGGGAGATGTTATGGGAATTGCTGCCAAGAAGATAAGAACATCCATATTGGGTCCGTCTAGCCCAGTGTCCTGTCTTCCAACAGTGGCCAATGCTAGGTGCCCCAGAGGGAATGAACAGAACTGGGAATCATCAAGTGACCCATTCCCTGTCACCCATTACCAGCTTCTAACAGAGGCTAGGGACACCATTCCTACCCATCCTGGCTCATGGCCGTTGATGGGCCTATCCTTTATGAATGTATCTAGCTCTTTTTAAACCCCTGTTAAAGGCCTAGCCTTCACAGCATCCTCTGGCAAGGAGAGTTCCACATGTTGACTGTGCATTGTGTGAATGCCTTTTGTTTGTTTCAAACCCGCTACCTATTGCTTTGGTGATCCCTAGTTCTTGTGTTATGGGAACAAGTAAATAACTTTTCTTTATTCACTTCTTCCACGTTACTCGTGATTTTATAGACCTCTAGCATACCCCCCGCTTAGATGAAAAGTCCCAGTCTTTTTAATCTCTCTTCATATGGGACCCGTTCCAAACCCCTCATTATTTTTGTTACCCTTTTCTGAACCTTTTTCAATGCCAAGAGATCTTTTTTTCCTGCCCCTGCACACGGAGTGGATTTTTTCAAAGAACTATCAACAGTGACTCCAAGATCTTTCTCTGGAATGGTAATAGCTAACTTAAAGTCCATCATATTGTATGTATAGTTGGAATTATTTTTTCCAATGTGTATTACTTTTCATTTATCAATATTATATTTCATTTGCCATTTTGTTGCCCAGTCGCTTAGTTTGGTGAGATCTTTTTGAGGCTCGTCACAGTCTGCTTTGGACTGATGTATCTTGAGCAGTTTAGTATCATCTGCAAATTTTGCCGCCTCGCTGATTATCCCTTTCTTCAGATCATTCATGAATATGTTAAATAGAATTGGTCCCAATATGGACCCCTGCAGGACACCACTAGTTACCTTTCTCCATTTTGAAAACTCTTTATTCCTACCGTTTGTTTGCTGTCTTTTGACCAGTTATAAAACCATGAGAGGGCCTTCCCTCTTATCCCATGACAACTTACTTTTCTTAAGAGCCTTTGGTGAGGGACCTTGTCAAAGGCTTTCTGGAAATCTAAATATACTATATCCACTGGATCCCCCTTGTCTGTTTGTTGACCTCCTCAAAGAACTCTAGCAGATTAGTAAGGCATGATTTCCCTTTCCAGAAACCATGTTGACTTCCCCCAACAAATTATGTTTATCTGTGTGTCTGACAAGTATATTCTTTACTATAGATTCAACTAATTTGCCTGGCTTTGATGTTAGACTTACTGTCCTGTAATTTCCAGGATCATTGCTAGAGCCCTTTTTAAATATTGGTGTCATATTAGCTATCTTCCAGTCATTGGGTACAGAAGCTGATTTAAAGGATAGGTTACAAACCACAGTTGTTAGTTCTGCAATTTCCCATTTGAGTTCTTTCGGAACTCTTGGGTGAATGCCACGTGGTCCCGGTGACTTGTTACTGTTACATTTATCTGTTTGTTCCAAACCTCCTCTAATGACACCTCAATCTGGGACAATTCCTCAGATTTGTCACCTAGACAGAATGGCTCAGGTTTGGGAAACTCCCCAATATCTTCAGCTGTGAAGACCAGTGCAAAGAATTAATTTAGTTTCTCTGCAATGACCTTATCATCTTTGAGTGCTTCTTTGGCATCTTGATTGTCCAGGGGCCCCAGTGGTTGTTTCTGCTTCTGATGTATTTAAAAAAAAGTTTTGCTATTACTTTTTGAGTTTTTTTGTCTAGCTGTTCTTCAGATTCCTTTTTGGCCTTCCTAATTATATTTTTAGACTTCTCTTGAAGAGTTTATACCCCCTTTTTATTTATTTATTTATTTTTTTGGTTAGGATTTAACTTTAACTTTTTAAACAGTGCTTTATCTCTCACTGCTTCTTTTACATGGTTGTTAAGCCACGGTGGCACTTCTTTGGGTTCTTTTACTATGTTTTTTTTGAATTAGGGGTATACATTTAAGTTGAGGTTTGAATTAGGGGTATACTATGGTGTCTTGGAAAACTTTAGATGCAGCTTGCAAGGATTTTACTTTTGTGTCACTACCTTTTACTTTCTGTTTAACTAACCTCATTTTTGTGTAGTTCCCCTTTCTGAAATTAAATGCCACCATGTTGGTCTGCTGTGGTGATATATAATACAATATAATACATAAAATAGTATATAATAAATATAATAAAATTTAAGATTCCCACCACAGGAATGTTCAATTTTATTATGTTATGGTCACTATTTCCAAACGGTCCAGTTATATTCTGGACTGGACTCGATGACCTATTGGTGTTCCTTCCGGTTCTAATATTCTATGATATTCACCTCTTGGACTGCATCCTGCAGTCCACTTTGGACTAAATCGAGAACTGCCCGTCTTGTGGGTTGTAGAACCAGCTGCTCCAAGAAGCAGTCTTTTAAGGTGTCCCGTCCTGAGGTGACGTGTATCCAGTCAAAATGGGGATAGTTGAAATCCCCCACTGTTACTGAGTGTTTTTATTTGTATAGACTCTCTGTTCTGCCTTAGCATTTCATAGTCACCATCACTATTCTCGTCAGGTGGTTGGTAATATATCCCTACTGCTATATTTCTTATTGGAGCATGGAATTACTATCCATAGAGATTCTGTGGAAGAGTTTGGTTCATTTAAGGTTTTTAATTCATTTTAATCTACGTTTTCTTTCACATATAGTGCCACTCCACCACCAGCACAACCTATTCGGTCCTTCCGATATACTTTGTACCCCGATATGACTGTGTCCCATTGATTATTCTCATTCCACCAAGTTTCTGTGATACCTGTTATATCAATATCCCCACTTGGTACAAGTCATTCCAGCTGCTAGTTTTCCTTTATGGCTTTCATTTTCAATTTTTTTTATAAGTGAAATCTAAATAACTAGACTTGTTTCTGGCATTGTAGGTGTTCTTCACACATCAGTTGTCCTCCTCACAGAGATGTGTGAGAGAAGCCCAGACATGTTAGCACACTTCAGAAAGGTAAGTACAAACTGTATCAATATCTCTGATGGCTAACGTTTTAAGTGCTGCTTTTGGGCTGACACTTCCATCCTTTTTCGTAGCCAACGGGACCAAAAGGATGTGTCCAAAAGATTGAAAGAAATCTGTGCACCCACTTGTGAATGAGGCACATGATAATGCAGGCTTTCTGTTTCAGAAACAATGTGTCACACAATCATCAAAGAATTAAATTAGAAATTTTCCATGTAGTTTGTCTTTGTCTCCTTGTGAGCATAGAGGGGAGTGAATTATAAGCTATTGACCAATTACCTATGTAGATGAAGATTGTGAATCTTGTCCCAGAGTTAGTTGCAGCAACTCCTATAATGAAAGTCCTTAATAGATTATTCCTCATGTAGCTGATTGCATAGTGACATCTGGAGTGGGCTACAATTCAATATCCTTGTTCTTTTTTTAATCTAAGATGGGGAACTAAAATCAAACTGTTGACCTTAAAATTTTCCTAAATTCCATTTAGGAAAAGGCAAAATTGAAGTTTTCATAGTATAGCTAGGCTTGGCAGAATTCATTTTGATTAACATAAACGTTTATTTTAATAATTTTATCTATTTTAATCAAATGTTCATGTTTGCGCAAAATTATGGGGCGGGTGTCGACAGAAGATAGGCTAGACAATTATTTAATAACTTTAGAAATAAAGGTTTAATCTTTTGAATATGAATGACCATTAAAACAGAAAGTGTCAACATCACATAGTGAAGTCCAAAGCAGACTTCAAAGCGTTACAAAGAGATTTCACAAAATTGGGTGACAGGGCAACAAAATGGCAGATGAAATTCAGCATTGATACATACAAAATAATGCACATTGTAAAACAGATTGCCAGCTATACACGTAGTATCTAAATGAGCTGTTGTTATTCTGTCTGAAAACATCTACTGCATGTGCACTTGCAGTCAAAAATGATAATAGATGATTAAGGAACCAGCATGAAAAGGATAACTAATAAGACAGAAAAGATCATGTCACTTCATAATCCAGGGTATGCCCGCATGTTGAAAACTACATGTCGTTCTTGTCTCATTTTAAAAAAAAAAAAAAACATTTGAATTGGAAATGGTGCAGAAAAAGACAACAAAAATGATATAAGGATATGAAACAGCTCCTAGTTGAGAAGAGATTAAGAAAACTGGGAATTGTTAACTTGGAAAAGAAATGTCTGGGGGGTATGAGAAGGCTATAACATCATGACTGGTGTGGAGAAAGTGAATTAGGGAGTGTTATTTTCTCCTTCCCATAACACAAGAACCGACAAGTTAGGTAGCAGCTTTGAATCTAACATAAGGAAGTACCACTTCACCGAACACACAGTCAACCTGTGGATGCTGTGAAGGCCAAAATTATAACTGACTTCAAAAAAGAAATAGGCATGCTCCTTGGAGAGAAGTCCATCAACGGATATTAGCCACGATGACCAGGGTCTGCCTGTCCCTGGCCTTTTATGCCCAGAAAGCTGGAAGCAGGTGTTGGGGGATGGATCTGCTCAATATTTTGTCCTACTCTGTTCATTCCCTTTGAAGCACCTGCAATTGGCCACTGTCAGCCGACAGGATACTGGCTAGCTGAGTCATTCATCTGTCCCAGTCTGGCCGTTCTTGTGTGTCAAAATATACAAAGTAAATGCCCTTAAATCAAACTCTCATGAATTCTCAAAGCAGCATTTTTCTTACCTTGCCTGTGTGTGAACGTCCGTTATCCATGAAAAGTTTCTCATTGGTTTGGGTGTACGCATGGTGAAATCACCGTTTGCCCACACTTACTGGTTAGTAACCTAATCCTTCCGCTTAAATATAGCAGACTTGTCCACATTGCTTGCAGCACGTCCTGAGGCATTTTCCCCGGGTGAAGAGGCGTTTCCAAGCCAGCAGTACTGCTGTGTTCTAGCTCGCTGGCCTAGCACTGTCTCCTGCTGTCACTGCTGGCTGTAGTCATGTTTGTGTATCTGCTGCTGTAACTTCTCAGCTGCCAGAGTAGAGAGCTTTCCTTCTGCAGTGGCTTGGAAGGTGGTCTTGGTGCACAGTTTTGAGTCCTTTGGACAAAGGAGGAATTGGGAGCCAAGTGAGTCGATCAAATGCAACTTGCCAGATGTGCCACTAAAAGCCCTAAGGGGTGCCTTCTGCCTGTGTGGCAGCTCCCAACGTCCTCTTCCTGCAAGTACAAGATGCACTAGCAGGGACCTTGGACAGGCACCTCCGTGGCTGGTGGATTTTGGACCAGCCCCTCTCTCTCCCCTCCAGCTGCATGTGTTAGAGCTGGGGAAGTGATGATGTTCTGAGCTATTGTCCTTCCCCATCACTACCTAGGAGGAGGCTGAGTCCTGGGGAGAGCTATGAGGAGTTGAGTCCAATGAGTCTTGTGTCCCAGAGCCTCCTTTTGGTGGTGCTTTCTTCTCGCCATCTTTTTATGCTGTGACTAGAATGACGCTGATCTGTCCCTAATGCCTGCTTTGTCTGTTTTATCCCTTTGTCTGGGTGGACTCCTGCTGCATGCTAGAATGAGAAGGTAAGTGCTGACTCTTCGGGACGGTGCATGCTTTCATCGGCTCTGTAGAGGCGTCTGTGTGTCCAGCCCAGGGCTGTGTTGCGCACTGACACTGCCGCTGGGGTTACTTGTCCGCTGTACTTGTCTAACAAGTTCATTGTGCTCCAGTCTGTGTCCTGTCATTCACTCCCCAAATCCATGGCAGTCCTGGATCTCAGTTGTGGCCTCTCCCAAACCGGGAACCTCCCTTGGTCCCTCTCTTCCTTGTTGGAGGAATTTCAGCAGCTTTTCTCTTTAAAAGTTGGGTTTCCCTGGAGCACGGCTGTATTTTCCTTACTGCAAGGTGGGTTTTGCTTCCCACGGGCCGTGGGACAGCCCTGGGGAAAGCCAGCGCTCATCACTGGCGTGGGAACCAGATACATGCCATGCAGTGGAGCATTGGCCACCAGCTGTCCTGTGGGTTCAGTAGACGGCTCTGGACAGGTCTGTACTGAGCCATCATTGCCCATAGTTTCTGGCTGTCAAGGAGAAGCAGGGAGGCTTAGGCCACAACTGACCTTTATGACTGTAGCATTTGCCTTTGTTTGTCCTGTCATCAGTTTTGGTGCCTCGGGTCTATAGAAACACAGACAATGCACAACTGGGTTTTCAGCTGCTCTTCCTGCTGGGGAGCGATCTGAAGGGAAGCAAGCGCCTCCAGTGACACACCAGTCTGCTTGCTGAAGGGGGAGGGAGAGTCCAGGGACATTCAAGAAGAGCGATGTTTCTTGCAGAGCAACTAGAGATTACGAGGCTGCGGCACATCCTCTTGCACAGCTGCTGGCACACTGGCAAGTTCTGCAAAATATGCATCTCGCAGCAGAATGCTGCTGAAGGCATCTGTCAGGCACTCGCATGGCAAGCCTGTGGCAGATAATAGCAGTCTGGCTGCTGCAGCAGCAGTTCAGCCGGAGGGAAGACGGACAGAGGTGGCTTTTGGGGAAGGTTCTGCGGGAGCTGTATTCATTCTGCAGACACAGAGGAGGAGGTGAAAGGAAGAATGAGACTGTTGTAATGTGGAAAGGAAACCTGCTCAGGGGGTCCAGCCAGTTCTGAAGCAGTGACCACTGCACTGGCTACACACTCTACTGGCCAAATAGGCGTGTGTGGCTAGCTGCTGGCATGTTGGGTCTAGTGCCATCCCCCCTGCAAATCACCCATTGCTCCTTAATTGGTCTTCGGGCTGTGGCAATAGGACAGCCGGTCCAGCACATTTTGGACTCCGTGTGGCTGCCTGTTTCTTGGGTTATTTGACTTGGCTGTCGGCTCGGAGATGGGAGACGGCGATGACTCTTCACGGCTGTAATTGGCCGGGAGCCCGCTAGCTTTACCAAGCGGTATGCCATGCTCTGGCAAGCAGGTCAGCGAGACTGTTTTCTGAAACTTGGAGAGATGTGCAGCATCCTGCTCCTTGAAATGGAATCCCAGCCCATGGCTGTAGCAGCCTGCCTTGTGTGTGTGAACAAGAGCATTTCGGTGGGTTGTGGTGGTGCTAGGGTTCCGTTTCATCTCTCCGTCTACTGGGACACTCGGACCTGCTGCTAGAGCGTTGGCTGCAAATGTACGACAGCCTTGCCATGGCGGCCTGGCCTGAGAACTGCGCTCGGCGTTCTCTGCCGCTGCGCACTCGTCTGAGGCACCATGGAATGTGGGTGCTGCTACAGAGCAAGGGCATCGCAGAATAGGCTTAGAAGGGATCTCGGGTGTCATCTAGTTGAGCCCCCTGCCAAGATGCATGTAAAGCCGTGGTGCCAACCTTGTTATGCAGCAGGACCTCAAACCTAAGCATAGCCTTGTGTGGGCTGAACAGTGTCTCCATATTTTAATAAGATTTGGAGTCAGCCGCATTCATTTGTTTTAAGTTAGGTTGCTTTTAAGTACAGTCTTGTCTGTTCACGCACTTACGTAAACACAACTGCATCCAGCAGCAGTCTGTTGTTGAAGCAGGCGAGGGGCCTTGAGAACAGGTCTGCTGGGCCTTAGGATGCGCACCCCTGGTCTAGTATCAGAGGGGGAGCCGTGTTAGTCTGAATCTGCAAAAGCGGCGAGGAGTCCTGTGGCACCTTATAGACTAACCGAAGTGTAGGAGCATAAGCTTTCGTGGGCAAAGACCCACTTCATCATCTGACATGCATCTGACCAAGTGGGTCTTTGCCCACGAAAGCTTATGCTCCTACACTTCGGTTAGTCTATAAGGTGCCACAGGACTCCTCGCCGCCCCTGGTCTAGCGCATCCAAGACTGATGCCTGCCCAGCTACTTTTCGAATGCGCTTTCAGGCTTTCTTGGGGCACTCTGTTCCACTGTCTGCTGTTCTTACAGTCAGGAGACTTCTTCCTGAGGTTGGTGGACGGAGCGGTGAGACATCCAAGGACTAGAGGAGACTGAGGCAAATGGCCTTACACAAATGACCCTCCTAAAACCGCCACGTGTGTACCTTGAAGGCGCCACTCCGCCTGAGGGGCAGGCAGATGACCCTGGGTATCAGTGACGCCTCCTCGGGCAGGATCTGAGCTCTCGGAGCGTTTTCAGCCCCTCAGGCTTGAGAAGCAAAGCATCCTCGTGAGGAGGGGGCGTTGCCTTCCTGAGCTTGGGGACAGCTCCGGCGCAGTGGTGCCAAGCCGCAGCAGCGTGAGTTAGCACAGCTGTGGTCCTTTTGACTGCTGCTGTCCAGAGCCCTGTGTGCAGAAGTGAAGCCGGAGAAAAGTCAGGTGCATGTCGTGCTGCTGCAGGGGTGCGGGGAAAGCGGTGAGCAGCAGCAGCAGAAGGTGGGTAGCCCTGGGGTGGCTTTGCTGGGGTACTGCCCAGCTAGTGGGGTAGGAGTGGGAGGTAAATCGATGGAGAGTCCCCACCTTTCTCTGCCCTGCAGGTTCTGAAGAGGGGGAGAGAAAAGACAAAGCTCCTTCACACAACTTGTGAGGGGAGAGTGGCACAGTTAGGGCATCCATAATGAAGTCTTCCTGTTGTGGGAATGCTGAAAGTGGGGTCAGGGTCCCACTGGGCACGTCAGGGCCACTCCTAGCCAATTGGCGGCCCCAGGCGACCGCCTGGCTCGCTCATAGGATTGCCAGATGGCTTAAAAAAATACCAGACAAAAAACTGTCAAGGGGGGAGGGGGAAAAAACCCCGTGGGAAATTTGTCAAGCAAAAAAAGGGGGGGTTGGGGAAAGGGTTGGGGAGTAACCAGGGAAACCGGGAGGGGGGCTAGGGTGGATTCTGGAGGTGGGGCCGAAATGCAGTTGTGGGCCCGGGCAACTTCCCAGCTCACCCGCCCCTAAGACGGGCTCTGCTGTCAGTGCTCTGTGCAAGTGAAACAAGATGGCCCCTGCCCTATAGAATTTAGATTGAAAGCTGGACTGAAAGATCCCAATGCAAGATCTTAGGATAGCACCTGGCATCTCCTCTTATTTCCAGCGTCTGATGGCTGGGGAACTCCGCATGGCATTGTCTGTGAGCCGTAGTGCCTCTGCTCTGTGTCTGTCTCTGGGCTAGTGGGCAGAGCTCTCTGAACAGTTACATGTCTGGGGTTCAGGTGCTGGCCAGCGGTCACATCATCCAGCCTTTGCAATCAGATGCTGTGTGTGCATAGATCTGTAGGATCCCTACTTCAGCAGTGTGGAAGACCAGTGTATGGGTTTACTTTCTGATGGCTCTTTCTTCTTCACAGCTCGTCCCCCAGCTAGTTCGGATTCTAAAGAACCTTATCATGTCTGGATATTCACCAGAGCACGACGTGTCTGGGATCAGTGACCCCTTCCTGCAGGTAAGGGTTGGTAGGAAAGCTCTTGGGTAGTTGTCTCCGCTGCAGGGTCTCTGACTCCCTCACCTGTTGTGTGAGTTCAGGGCACACTTGTTGCTCCCCATATTGGATCCTGTTCATTGCTTATTTGCAAGGCAGTGCGTGAGCACAGTAAGAAGCCTTGCTTCCTGGGAAGGACTGGCTGGGGGAGAAGAGTTCAAACCCTCCCTCTCTGCTCTAAAGCAGACTGACTTGCCATGTGTATCAGCGCCTGATCTGTCTCCTGCACTCCTAAAGCCAGTTCCCCCAGCACCGTCTCCATGGTGCTGCCTGCCCCCCGTGGTGCTGGGGGAGGTGAGGCTGCTCTGGCAGCAGCCCCTGTCCTCAGGGGTCCCAGCGGGGAGCTGCCTGCTGGCACAAAGCGGCTGCAGTTCATGGCGGCCTGGGTTGGCCGCGGACAGGGGCTGCTGGGCCCAGTGCTGCTCAGTACTGCCTCCGGGAGCTACCCCCACTGTGGCTCTGCAGAGAGCCTCCCTTTATCGGCTCATCGTGTGGTCGCTCCAGATGGCATCGAGTCCACGATTCCCAAATACCTGCTCCTGAGCACCCCCATACTGCACAGCGCTGCTTCACCCCGGTGTGTCTCCTCAGGTGCGGATCCTGCGGTTACTGAGAATTCTGGGGCGAAACGACGACGATTCAAGCGAAGCGATGAATGACATACTAGCACAGGTGAGGCCTGCCCGGTTACCTTGCTGAATTGCCTCTGGCTCCCGCCCTAGCGCTTCTGCGCACGTCTCTGGTATCGCAGAGCGAGCGTCCGCTCCCTGCCCACAAGCCTGTGCTTCTGCCGCTTGCGCCTCGTGGCAGCTGTGAGCAAGCGGGCAGTGGCGTGAGGAAGGGGCTGCTGCCCCTGTCTGCCATGCCTGGGGGGCGCCAGTCTAGTCCCCCTCCGCTCCCCTGTCATCCTTTGGCTCGCCTGCTCCTCCTCTGTCCGCTGCCAGCTGGAGCCTCCTCCCCGCCTCTCCACTCTCAGCCTGACCCTCCGTCTCCGCTGGTGGATTAGTGCATGTGGGAGCCTGGCCCCAAACTGGAGGGGGTGGGGGAAGATGTGGTACAAGCCCCTCCCCTTCCCCCCTGGGTTGGGCCCTGCCGCACAGTGGTAGGGGGAGGGGCACATGTTGCTGTTGGCCCCGGGTGTGTAGCACCCTCGCTAGTGTCTGCGAGCAGGGCCTTGCTTTTCCGCAGAAGGGGAGGATGTGGGAAGAGAGCTGGGTGCTGCAGACCCTGGTGAAGCGTGGGCAGTTACCTTGGTTTGTTCTTTTCCAGGTTGCCACAAATACAGAAACGAGTAAAAACGTGGGTAACGCCATCCTCTATGAGACCGTATTGACTATTATGGACATCAGGTCTGAGAGTGGATTGCGCGTACGTTGCCTTTCCCCTGCTTTGCTCACTGACCAGAGGCTAGAGATGAAATGGAGTCTTGGGGCTAAGGCTGGCCCTGGTTTCCTAGCGGACATATGAAGCCGAACCATTCCACGTGATTGTAGCCAAGGCGGAATTCGTCAGTTACTGATGCCTGGTGCTCAGGGCTCTAAAATGTCACTGGAATTGACTGACTCAAAGACATGAGACTGACAGGGACCTTGGTGGGTCATCTAGTCCAGCCCCCTGCACTGAGGCAGGACTAGGCATCATATAGACCAGAGGTGGGGAATCTTTTATGGGCCAGGCGCCACTGACTCACAGAAAAATAGTTGGGGGCTGCACACAAGTGAGAAGAAAACCCCTCCAACCCAAAAACCCCCTGGCCCCTGACTGAGAAGGAAAAAGGAGAGCCCCCCCTCCCCCCGGCGCGCGCACACACACTAGAGCCTAGGAGGGGTAGCCACATAGATTCTGTGTGCTCCGACCCTGCAGTGGGACAGCGGAAGAGCTGGCGCTCCAGTGCAGGCTCCCCAATGCTGTGGGGGCCCCTGAGCCTTGGGGAAGCTGGGGGCTACATCCAGCCCCCAGGCCTGAGGTTTCCCACCTTGGATATGGACCGTCCCTGACAGCTGTTTGTCTAAGAACCCTCTGTAGGTAACTTGCTCCTGTGCTTAGCTACCCTGATAGGAAGAGCCAGTCTAACCTGAGTGCGGTGGCAGATGGGCTTCCAGTCTGGGGTTCCCGAGACTCAGCTGAGGGGCTTGGTAGGGCCAGGAAGATCCAGTGCCGATGTGGTACCAGTAGGCATGCCTGGAGGTTAGCTGCTTGGAGCATGGTGCGGGAAGGGGTGAAAGCTGTGATGTGCCAAGCCAGCGTGTCTCTGAGCTCTTGGATAATGGAGTCCTCTTGTAGTTTGCATGCAGCGTCCAAGGAGGGGGAGCTGTACGAGGGCCCCAGTTGAAGCGTGCACTGCTGCCCCTGGGCATAGCGCCCTTGCCCGAAGTGCTGTATGCCACGCAGTGCGATTGCTCTTCAGCAGGGTGTGCGGCCTCTCCCAGAGCCACAGTGCACGTAGAGGGAGGGGAGCGTGGAGCCAGAGCCGTGTGCATGACTCCTGGCTCTCTCCAGTCCATGCCGGGAGCTCTTGCTCTTGGTGCCCCTGCTCTCAGCGCTAGCTCTCTTATGCCAAGTCACGACGGACCAGGCAGAGCGTCATGGCAGCGTGTGCGGATCACTAACCTTCCCAAACTCTCTTTTCTGCAGGTGTTAGCCATTAACATCCTAGGCCGCTTCTTGTTAAATAACGACAAGAATATTCGGTAAGTATCAGACCTGGCACGCTGCGGTGCTGAGCGCTGCACAGGCCATTCTTACTGGGGTGGCTTGGCTCAACTGCCGGCGGTGATGCCTTTCCTCCCTAGCCAGCAGGTCTCTAGCAAGCCACTGCAGCCCACTTGTAAACCAGATACAGGTTCCTGGAGCAGCTCAGACAGTGCATCTTCCCCCCAGGAGCCAGTGAAGCTGGGCTTTCCCTTGGTCAGGGGTATCCCTTCCTCTGCTTGGAAACGCCCTTCGGGGAGGGCCAGAGAGCAGCCTGGGGCAATCCCGTCAGTGCTGAGGGAGACTAGACTCTTGTGCTTGACATGGGAACAGAATGGCTGGCAACGATGTGTTCTTCCTTTGTCCTCTGTGCCAGATATGTGGCTCTGACCTCCTTGTTGAAGACTGTGCAGACAGACCACAATGCAGTACAGCGGCACAGAAGCACCATTGTGGACTGCCTAAAAGATCTGGATGTCTCCATTAAACGGTAATTGCGCTGCAGAGAGCTGCCTGCCTGAGTCAGGATGGGGAGCAGGTGGGATGGCTGTTAACGGCCTAGCCAGTGCTGCAGTCCCGCAAGGGAGACTTGTTCTGTCCAGCCAGTCTCCTGCATCGGAGAGAATGGGCATGGTGGCAGGCAGCTCGGTCTGACACAGGAAGCGTCTTTGGGACCTGTCCACCCTCGCTAGTAAGATGCTGCACAAGCCCAGGCCCGAGTAGTGCAGATCAAGTGGTAAAACTCCCTCCCCTCCCCGGCGGATGCTTAAAGCGATCAGGCCCAGAGCCGTTCGGCATAGGCTGGAGGATCAGACAGGGCCTGGGCCTGGGCTGCTGAGCGGCGCTCGCTAGCATGGTCCTAGGGGTTCCATGGAAACCCAGGGGAGATGGATTAGCTCGGAAGGGTTGTTTCCTGTGGTGCATTCCAGTCCAGCACATCTCACTGCAGGGATGGCCTTGGTGTCCTGGTACTGAGTAACTGCCTCCTTTGGACACACTAAACACCTTGATGGGTTGTCTTGTGAGGAGGGTGGAAAATCCTGTTTTGATTGGTTAACCCGTTAAACGTAGCGTTTAACCAGTTAACTAATTGGGAGGGAGGCGGAAGCGCTCAAGCCTAGCTAGGCTGGAGCACCCCCTCCCCCCCATCTGCCATGGCTGGTCTGGAGCAGTCCTCGCTGTCGGGGGTGCAGCCAGGGCTACTGGCTCCCTCCCCCTCATGGGGGGCCCTGGAGCCCCCCACTGCCAATGGTGGGCTGCAGGCATCGGGGATTGGGGGGCTGCTAACAGGTCACTGCTCTTATATCCTATTGCAAACATACCTGTTTTTGCTGTCCCACAATCTAAGGGTCTCCTTCAGCATCAACATTCAAGCGTATCAAGTGTCTCTCCCTATTGAAAATGTGTGTTGGATACAGCTTTGGCAAATAATCAGCTCACATGCTTTTCATCGCTATACCTTGTATTTCTGTCCTTTCTCCTGTCTTTAGCTCGCTTGTTCAGTGGTGGTGTTCTGCAGATTGGATCTGCCCTTCTGCTAAAATTTAACTTCGACTGTCTTTGCAATGGGACTTGTCCATGCTACTCTTACAGATGATCCACATTTGAATGTCTGAGAGCACATGGATTCAGCAGATCAACAGATTTCTAGGGCCTGCATGAGAGTCTGTAGATGGCTGTGGTGTGTCCAAGCCTCGGACAGTTTGCAGGTATAGGGTGGGAAGGTCACAGTGTCATGCTCCGGAGCCTGCTAGGAATTTATTGGTATTCTAGAGCCCTGCAGAAACTTCTACTCTGTTCTGTGCTGTTGGAGGATGAAGCCTTTGAGTGATCCATCGACAGAGTGCTCTGTCACAATGCTGACACTCAAGCTGCTGACAACACACATCTGTCATTCCAATAGTCAGCTGACTGGGAGACAGAATTCCTGGGACCATTAGAAGCAGATCTGTGTGGAAGCCAAGAGGATGAGAGCTTTTTTGTACATTTGATATTGGCTCTGTATCAGGGCCTATCCTTATCTCCTTTATCCAAATTGCAGTGTATTAGTAAAGCATTTGATATGGTCTTTCAGGACCATCTTATAAAGACACTAAGGGGAAACAAGCTAGATGGGGTTACTATAAGGTGGGTGCATAACTGGCTGGATAACCATTCTCCGAGTAGTTACTAACAGTTCAGTCATGCTGGAAGGGCAGAACAAGTGGGGTTCCACAGGGGTCTGTTTTGGGACTGGTTCTGTTCAGTATCTTCATCAGTGATTTAGATATTGGCATAGAGAGTACACTTATTAAGTTTGCAGATGATACCAAGCTCAGAGGAGTTTGCAAGTGCTTTGGAGGATAGGGTCATAATTCAAAATGATCTGGACAAACTGGAGAAATGGCTTGAGGTAAATAGGATGAAGTTTAATAAGGACAAATGCAAAGTGCTCCACTTAAGAAGGAACAATCAGTTTCAGACATACAGAATGAGAAGTGACTGTCTAGGGAGGAGTCCTGCAGAAAGGGATCTAGGGGATCATAGTGGAGCACAGGTTAAATATGGGTCAACAGTGTGACGCTGTTGCAAAAAAAGGAAACGTGATTCTGGGTTGCATTAGCAGGAGTGTTGTGAGGAACACCTGAGAAGCCATTCTTCCGCTCTACTCTGCGCTGGTTAGGCCTGTATTAGTGTATTGTGTCTAGTTCTGGGCACCACATTCCAAGAAAGATGTGGAGAAATTGGAGAGGGTCAAGAGAAGAGCAACGAAAATGATGAAAGGTCTAGAGAATATGACCTATGAGGGAAGACTGAAAGAACTGGGCTTGTTTAGTTTGGAAAGGAGAAGACTGAGATGGGGACATGAGAGCGGTTTTTAAGTATCTAAAAGGGTGTCACAAGGAGGAGGGAGAAAAATTGTTCTCCTTGGCCCCTGAGGACAGGACAAGAAGCAATGGGCTTAAACTGCAGCAAGGGAGGCTTAGGTTGGACATTAGGAAAAGCTTCCTACCTGTCAGGGTGATTAAACACTGGAATAAATTGCCTGGGGAGATTGTGGAATCTCCCATCACTGGAGATATTGAAGAGCAGGTTGGACAGACACCTGTCAGGGATGATCTAGACCGTGCTTGGCCCTGCTGTGTGGGTAGGGAACTGGACGTGACCTCTCAAAGTCCCTTCCAGTTCTAGTGATCTATGATTATATGTCTATTTAGCGCAGTTGAAAGTGCTCTTGGCCCTTGCTTATAGGTTGTCAACTGCGCACTAAATAAAATCCAGCTTTGTGCTTGGGAGATCCTAAAGGAAGAAAATCTCTGAGTATTGTCAAAGAAACTGCAGCTGTGTCCTGTGTTCAGTGCTCTGATGTATGGAATTGTGAAGCACCAAAAGACTCCTTTCTTACTGCCATATTGATCAATGTCAACACTACACAAGGTTAATACTTAAGCACGTAACACCAATGGTCTCCTAGTGCTAGGGACAGTAAAACAATCTCTCAGTGGTACAGGTCTGTTACTAGACAACCAAGGAGAAATTGTTGATGATGTAGAAAAGGCAAAAGTGTTTAATTTTTGTAATATTAGGAAGAAGTCAGAAGTTACAGTCAGAGCTTACAGTGTGAAAGAAATACTTTATATTATGACACTGATTGGGGAGATATTAAAAGGCAGCTACTAATGCTAAACCATTTTAAATCTTCATCCCCAAATATTTTCACTCAAGAGTTGGATGGGGAGCTCTCTGATCCACTGATACAGATATTTAATCTTGGAATACTGTGGAAATGCCAAGTAACTGGGAAAAAGTGAATGTACCAATTCTTAAAAAGGGCCAGCGGATGACTTTGGTAACAAAAAGCTAGTTCATTCCACATTGGTTCCAGATAGAATTTTAAAAAATGGAGATACTGAGCATAAGCGGTTAAGAGCTAAAGGATGGTAGCACAGTTCAACTTGATTTCACTGAAAATATTACTATTTTTGAGATAGGGAACTACATAGGCTGTTCCTTAGGCCATGTCTACACTGGCAATTGAATGACACAGCTTTAGTTCCTTCAGAGATGTTAAAAAAAACCCAAACTCCCCCAAAAGACAAGTTTTGCTGTGGCAAGTGCTAGTGTGAATAGCGCATTGCCAGCAGGAGCGCTTTTGGGGCAGAAGTATTTTGTCAGCAGAAGAACTGGCAAACAGTGGTTCCACTGCCTGGCTTGTAGCAACTTGGCTAATTTGACATCGCCATGTCGCTAAAAAAATGCGTAGTGCAGACAAACTCAGACTGCAGTGAGACATTTAACTTGGTCCCTCACAACATTGTGATTTTACAAAATGAGCACTCAGTTTGTCATGTGGAACACATAAAGCAAAGTTCTCAAAGTAACTTAGTAAGTGATGATGTTTCCTCCTCTTTGAGAGTCTGTGGCTCGTGATATTCAGCATCTGTATTCAAGAACTGAAAGAGAAAATAGTCATTTCCCATGTGGGGCAGATGACAGATTGGTGGAATGGAAAATGGTAGCTCAGTTTCGTAGAATAATATGAGTTGCTTGGAAAAACTGAGCTGGGCTCAAGTGACCAATGTGTGTGTGAATGCAGCCAAATACAAGGGAATAGATCTGGGAACCAAGGACTTAGTCTCAGCCCCTGTTCTGTGGTTTGGAACGCAGTGACTCTGAAAGGACTTAAGGGTCATGGTGGAAGCCAGCGGGACTTGTGGCTGAGGGCTAATGCAACCCGTAGGCATCTGGACAGGGGAATACTGAAAAGAAGGCATTATGGTCTCAAATGTTTTTCACAGCTTATAACTGGAACATCATGTCCAGTCCTGGGTCCATGTCCAGGGTTCAGAAAGGTGTTGACTAACTGGAAGAGATTTGCAAACCTGTGTTACAGTGAGACGAAAGGTGTTCCATCAATTTAGTGTATTCAAGAGACGGGCCAGAGGTGACTTGATCACTGTGTGCAAGCACCAATGCGGAGAAGAGGAGAGGGCTGTCTCATCTAGCAGATGCAATGAGACGCAGTGATTGGAAACTGAAGCGGAACACGTTCAGACTGGTTTTTAACCATGCGGGTGGTTTATAAGTGAAACAACTTACCCAGGATGTGATGGATTCTCCGTCCATTCAAGTCTTTAAGTTTAGCTTGGCCAGACCCTTTGGGTTTCTGCCCTGTACTATATGGCAATCAGGCTAATGATCATCATACCCTTCTGGCCTTCATTGATAAAACTGTAGCCTTTTGTGGCCTGGGTTGCATTCCCATCACGCTGTTATGTCAGTCTAATTCCGCAAGGGAGTGACCAATAGCTGGAGGGTCAGAAAAATCTCAGCTGGACACTTGCTGCTGAAAGGTGTTCTATTTCGTTAGGCTAGTTAGAGACTTCCATGAAAATGCTGGAGAACTTGCCTTTCCCTCCCCCCGCTTCAGTTGGTTTTTGTTCCCCAGTTCCTCTGCCTGTAAGTGGGGAAAGTAGGTTAATCAAGATGGCTGCTGCTGCCCTTACTGATAGGTGAGACAGCAAGAAATGGAGGGGTTTGGGCGGGTGGGCAGCCTGTGCTCATGTGTATTCTTTGCTAGAGATGGCTTATTAGCACTCTGTCTTGTTCCAGGCGCGCAATGGAACTGAGCTTTGCCCTAGTGAATGGGAACAATATCCGTGGAATGATGAAGGAACTGCTGTATTTCCTGGATTCCTGTGAGCCAGAGTTCAAGGCAGATTGTGCCTCTGGAATATTTCTTGCAGCAGAGAAGTAAGTGTGGCTGGGCATTTGGGTCTTTCTCCCTGCCTTGTGAGAAGCAGTGAGACTGGGGACCACTGCCGGCCATTTCTTCCCTTTGCCAATCGGCCCTAGTGGCGTCTGGTGCTAGACCTGTCCTGAGAGATGGGATGGTGCAACGCTGACAGTTGGATGGGAAGTTCTGTTTGTAGGCACTTTATTACTGAAAACCACCTTAAACAGATCCAGTGGGCTGGCCCCTGCTACTTGGAATGACGCAGAGTTCAGTCTTTTTTTCATTAAATTGCTAAACAAAGTGATCTCGTTACTGCTGTGACTTGGTAATTGGAAGACTGGCTTCACTGTCCTGTCCTGCAGAGTATCGCTTTCCTCCGTACGAAACCTGGTCACTTAATGCTGACCTATTGAAAACCTGAATCTACAGGCTGCCCCCGACTTGTGACATGATTGGCTCTGGGGATAGCATCGCAAGTCGAGGGCCTTGTAACTCGAGCCCGCATTTCCGACAGGCAGCGTATGCTGTTGTAAATGCGGGGCCGAGGACGTAAGTCGGGGGATTTCGGCCCCTTTTGCACTTATGGAAAAAAGGCCGGAAGTACGGGGGGGTTGTAAATCGGGCTGTTGTAAAGGGGGGGCCTGTATATACAATTTCCCAGCAAATGAGAGAGGACTCCAGGAGGGGAAGGAAGAAGAGTCTTTCATACTCGTGCCAGGTTTTCTGCTGGTGGTTAGTGCCAGGACTAGTCACTCATCTGACTTTTTTTCTCCATTATTTTCTCAGATATGCCCCGTCCAAGCGCTGGCACATAGACACAATTATGCGAGTCTTAACAACGGTAAGTGGTGCCTAGCCCGAGAACCTATGAAGAGCTTGCTGTAACTTCATGCAGTGGCTAGTCCTGCAGCAGTTTAGACCCATGAGCCACTCTGCACCGTGGCTGTATTGACTGCAGACCGTGGACTCTAAAACACAGCACTGTATGCGTTGGGGATGTTAAATAGCAGTTAATTAGATAGTTGATTGACCTCCTGAATTTGTATTGGTTACTCGACTATTCTATGGTCCCCGGGGCTGGCAGCCAGTGCGCTCCAGCCCCACTCCTGGGGAGACCCCTGCCACTCCGTGCTGCTGCGTCTCTATCAGAGGCAGCAGCACAGGGGGCCAGGAGGGAGCTGGGCCAGGAGGGGAGCCAGTGTAAAAACCAGCTCCCCTAGTGGACCGGCTGCCTGTTGCCCTGCGCTGCTGCCTCTGATACAGAGCAGCACGGGGTGTCAGCAGCCCTTCCCGGGGGTGAGGGGAGTTGGAACTCCTGGACCCAGTACGAGCCAGAACGGAGCCAGGCTGCCTGCTCCTAATACACTTCCAATGCAGAGCCCCAGCGGGGGAAGGTCCCGGACCCGGTGCAAGCTGGGACTGAGCCAGGCTGCTAAAACATTGATTGGGGGAGGGGAATGTGTGTAGTCTGTAGCATTAGCTTATGAGCCTTTTCTTACCAGTTATCGGTTACAGCCCTAGTACCTGTACGAGCCAGCAACAAGCAGCCTGGGACGACAGCGTTTCCTGAAGCGAGAATTGGAAAGGGTTTAGGGCGTGTTTAAGATTTCAGAAGGGAATGCAAGGAGCCCTGATGGAATGGTGTCCTACTATTTTAAACGCTAATGCCAGTAGCCCCCCAGGCAAGGTTCAGGCCTCCTTATGCTGTGTACAGCACAAGTGAGGGGTCTTCAGGGGAGAGACCATAAGCCAAGTGACCTGTGAAGGATTGGGGGGCTGGGGGACAGCACAAATGGATACTCCTGCCGTTCTTGTGGAATTAGTTCTGCTGTCACTGCTGAGGTGGCATTAGAGGAAGACCTTGCCGATGAGGGCAGGGAGCAGATGCCATGTGAAATGGGCAGCGTGGAGGGAGACCTGGCAGAGCTGTGGGAGAGGCTGACAGATAAGTGCTGGAACTGAGGTTTGAGACACGGTCTTCTCACACTGTGCCTGAGAAACGCGCTGTGGTCTCCAGCTGCGTCCCGGTGTGGAGAAGAGCAGCTTCCTTCGTGGGGCAGAGACTCGATTTCCTGTGCGAGCGGCCTGCTGCGGTTCCTCGTGAGTCATGCGGCCTTGCCATGGGGATGGCACAAGACGGCGCTCTCTGTGCGCTGGCCTGGGGCTGCTGAAGGGCGTCTGTACTGCAGCAGAGTGTGGCTCCCAGCCCAGGAAGACAGACACACGGGAGCTCTGCTGATGCCACACAGTGAAATCGTAGTGTGACTGTTCCGGCACAGGCGGACATGGGCTAGTCACCCACGCACGGATGGGCTGTACTCGGGTGGCTACTGCCCACATTGCAGCATCCATGCTGACTGTTCACAGTGCGCTAGGTCAGCGGTTCCCAACCGCGGGTCCACAAGCCCCTCTCGGCAGGGCCACGCCCCCAGCTTTTCTGTAGCCCTCCCACTGGGCTTCCCCAGGGCGTTCCCTTCCCGCCCACTTACCCAGCAGCAGGCAGCTGGGCGCTGCAGCTGGAGCAGGGACCGTGGTGAAGCTGTCCCTGCTGGGGCACAGTTCTAGCTCTGGTTGCCGCTATACGGCGGGCCTGTGTGGAGCGCGGCGGCTCCGGTGGGCTGGGCTGGGCCGTGCAGCGCATGGCTTCCCGGGGGAGGGGCAAGCGCTGCGTGGAGTGTGGCTACCCTGGGGGGGCCAAGCGCCCCGTGGAGCATGGCCCCACATGTTGCATGGAGCGCAGCTGCCCTGGCCGGCGGGGCCTAGCATGATGGGTAGCTGCCCTTTCGACCCGTTCTTCTCCCTCCCAGCCAGTGGGAGCCTCCCCCTGGCCTTTAGCTGCTCCCAGCCCGGGGCACACCCAGGGTTATTATGCGTTGTTCAGTGCACAGGAAAGTGCGAGTGTGCCAGTGCTGCCCGGCCTGTTAACTCCTGCCGTTGTCATTCTGGTGCAGTTGAGGCTAAAGGTTCGGCCTGGCGAATGCTCGGTAACAAGTATGGGCAACTATTTTATAGCTTTTTTAAAATGTGCGGGGGCAGCAGGTTTTCAAGGTTTGGCTAACCGTCATGTCCCCCCCTTTGATTTGCCTCCTATGCCATGGGTTAAAATGACCACAATGAATATACAAATATTTCAGTGCTGGTCTGCCGACGGTTGAGTCAGTTTGCCGGTCTGCAGCGTGACAGGTTGGGAAGCGCTGCACTAGGAGCCTGAGCAGAGAGAGTGCATCGGTCTGCTCGCATTGGGCAGCACCTCCCAGCAGGGTGGGGCCCATCGTCTACCTGAAGCTCTTGGGTTTTCTTTTTGGCCAAATGCCGATCTACTTGCTGGTGGAACCGCGGGCGGCTTAGCCAGAGCCTGTAGACTTCGTTGTCCTTGGTCAGCCTTTTGGCTTGGTTCTTGATGCCAAGGCCCCGGACAGGAGGTGCAGCTCTGGCAGTACGTGTCCTTCCTCCCAGACGCCACAGACTCTGACACCACTCTGGCTGTGAGCGAGAGAGCAAACGCTGCCTCCTGTGCTCAGGAATCGCGTGCTGCTTTACGCCGGCGCCCTCAGCCTTTCAGACCTGTCTCTGGAGGCCTCAGTTCCCTTTTCTGCTGTCATAATGTGGGAAAGAACATGAGTACGGCCAGACTGGGTCAGACCAAAGATCCAGCCACCCCAGTGTCCTGTCGGCCCAGAGTGGCCAATGCCAGATGCCCAGAGGGAGGGGACACAACAGGTAATCCCAGGGCCGGCCCACAGCATTTTGGCACCTGAGGCGGGGAGCTCAAATGACGCCCCAAAGCCCCTTTTCTCCTGCCTGCCTGTTATGTCTCTCGTGCCCTCCTTCCTCCAGCACAGCCCTCCCCATCTCTGTGCATCTGGAGCAGAGAGAATACAGATGCACCAGCAGCAGACACAATTTTCTATACTCTGGATGCTAGTGGCGCCCTCCCCTCCCACAGTCTGGCATCTGAGGTGGCTGCCTCAGTTTGCCTCGTGGTAAAGGCCAGCCCTGGGTAATCCTCGTGATCCCTCCCCTGTCACCCACCTCCAGACAAACAGAGGCTTGGGACGCCATTCCTACCCAGCCTGGCTAATAGCCAGGGCTCGACAAATAGTGTAACCTACTTGCCTGTGGCGAGTAGATTACACCATGGAAGAGCCGACACAGAGCGATCTGCTCGGTGAGCCCTGCTAATAGCCATTGATGGACCTAACTTCCGTGAATCTATCTAGGTCTTTTTTGAACCCTGTTCAAATCCTAGCCTTCATCGCATCTTCTGGCAAGGAGTTCCACAGGTTGACTGTGCGCTGAGTGAAGGAAAACTTTTTTTGTTTGTTTTAAACCTGCTGCCTACTAATTTCATTTGGTGACCCCTAGTTCTTACATTGTGGGAATAATAACTTTTCCTTTTTCGCTTTTTCCACACCAGTCATGATTTTATAGACCTCTATCATATCCCCCCTTAGTTTCCTCTTTTCTAAGCTGAAAAGTCCCAGTCTTTTTAACACTCTTCAAATGGGACCCATTCCAAACCTCTAATCATTTTTGTTGCCCTTTTCTGAACCTTTTCCGATGCTAATATAGCTTTCTTGAGATCAGGCGACCACATCTGTACGCAGTATTCAGATGTGGTTGTACCATGGTTTTATATAGAGGCAATACGATATTTTGTCTTATTCTCTATCCCTTTTTTCAGTGATTTCTAACATTCTATTTGTTTTTTGACTGCCGCTGCACACTGAGTGGATGTATTCAGAGAACTATCCACAATGACTCCAAGATCTCTCTCTTGAGCACTTGTAGCCAAATTAGTCCCCATCATATTGGATGTACAGTTGGGATTATGTTTTCTAACGTGCATTACTTTACATCTATCAACATTAAATTTCGTTTGCCATTTTGTTGCCCAGTCACTTAGTTTGGTGAGTTTTTTTGAAGCTTTTCACAGGCTGCTTTGGTCTTAACTATCTTGAGCAGTTTGGTATCGTCTGCACATTTTGCCACCTCCCTGTTTACATGGGCCTGGGATCTCTGGTGAAGGAACAGCTGTGTGAGCTCTGAGAGAATCAACGGCCTTGGTGCTGAGAGCTGCCACGAGAAGCGGGGCCAACTTCTCTCGTTCCATCCTCTGCTTCTCCTTGGGGAACGGAGCCCTAAGCCATGCAAATGCCGAACAGAAAATCAGTTCGTCCCCCAAAGCTCAGTCTGGATTTGCCAAGTCAGGGGAGGCGGATGAAGGAGCCATAAGAGACAGGACAAGGCGCATTTTTGCTAATAAACAGCAGCCTTAGCTTGTGCTTCCCAAGCCATTCGTGCAGGGAGTGATGCGGATGGCAGTGACCAGTGTTCTGCTTGGCTCCTGTGGGAAGCAGGGAATCGGAGTACTTTGGGCTGTGTGTTGTGACCAGGACCTCTGGACCTGAGGGTTTTCTGGCTCATCGGGGAGTAGCTTGGTGTCTGGGGGAGCAGGGAGAGAAGCTGAATGACTGTCTCCTAATCCTTGGCTGTGTGTCTTCACCATCAGCCATAGATGTCTGCAGTGCACATGGGGTATGTAGAGCTAAGCCCTGCAGTGAAAAGCAGGCTGTGTCCACACCGGTGTGCGGGTACCTTCAGCAGTGACAGGGTCTGGCAAGGGGAGGCTGTGGGGAAGGGCTGCAGCAGGGGAAAGCACGTCTGCAGGATGCAGTGGGAACGAGCTTGCTGGTTTTCGCAGTGTTGCCAGCAGAGGCGCTGCCTGGCCACGTCGGGAGGCGTGTAGAGTATGGGCTCAGGCTCTGTCGCCCTAGCAATGCCTTGCCGTCTACAGTGTTCACACCCGGGCCAGTGGGGCATGCAGTGCCGGGGCGCCGCATGCTGCCGTAAGGACTGCGCACTGGGACACGCCCACCGAGTACCTCTTCAGGATGTTGCACAGCTGGTTTTGACTCCTGGCCAATTCTTTACCCTTTGAGTTGCACTGGTGGCTGGAGCGTGTTGGGAGAGGGTGTGGCTGAAACCCAAGCCGCCTCCTGCGTGTTTCTTGGAATGGGACTTCTCTTGCAGGCAGGAAGTTACGTTCGAGATGATGCTGTCCCCAACCTGATCCAGCTGATAACAAACAGCGTGGAGATGCATGCCTACACGGTGCAGAGACTCTACAAAGCCATCCTGGGGGATTACTCCCAGGTACTGTCTAGCCCACCGCCGTGTAGTAAGCGTGTGGGAAAGCTAATGGCGAATGCCTTTTCCCCACACAAGCAACGGCCCGGCGAGTGACCGCGTCCCAAGGAAGCCCAAGGGTTGGCAATGGCCATTGAAAATCCCCCGGGGGCCAGTTCTCCGTCCTGTGAGGACAGGAGTGGCCCTAATTATGCCTGTTACCTTGATGCGGACCAGTGCCCTCTGGGACCGTAGCAGGCTCCCCCCGGGAGGAGCTGGGTTGGACGCTGCTAGGCCATGGCTTGGTGTGCCCTGACAGGTCTAACCTTCTCTTCCCATAGCAGCCCCTGGTGCAGGTGGCCTCTTGGTGTATGGGAGAATATGGAGACCTCTTGATATCTGGTCAGTGTGAAGAGGAGGAGCCGGGGCAGGAATTTCTCCCTGCCCACCCTGTGCTCTGCATGCCTGGCCCAGGCACTGCAAACCTCTGTAAGCACAAAGCCAGGCTGGCTGCCCCTCGCCGGGCCTGCCGGCCTGTCTCCCCCGCAGGGAGGTAGGAGCGGAGCGCGCTGATGGCTTGGGAGAGTTCCAGGAGGTGGAGCAGCAGAGCCCATCTCTCCCCGCTGATAGCAGCCCTGTTGCCCTGCTTTGCTCAGGTAACGGAGGAGGAAGTGCTGGATATTTTGGAGAGTGTCCTGATCTCCAACATGTCTGCGTCAGTTACACGAGGCTACGCTCTCACTGCCATCATGAAGCTTTCCACAAGGTTCACCTGCACTGTCAAGTGAGTGTCTTGGGTGCTGGCACGGCACGGCACGGGGCGGCCGGGAGGCATGCATGTGACCGGGGCCAGAGGGAGGGTTTCTGTGATGTGGACCGTAAGGGGTTTTCCTCTTGCTTCGGCTCTGGACCCTGCCTTGCGTATGTGTCTGAAGGCTGCCGTGTGGCGCGCTCCCTGTCGGTTATGGTCTGTGCTCCTTGTCTTTGTGGGGGCCGTGTGACTTCACTTGAAAACGTCCTTTTGAGGAAGCGAATCCTCGTACGTCTGCCAAGAGCCTCTGTCCGTGTTCAAAGGGAATGAGCAGCCTTGCTCCGTGCAGGGGCTGGGCTCGTGGCTTACACCCAGCAGCACGGGCCTGTATAGCTACCAGGAGGGTGAATTAGAACCAGCGCTGCCCCTGCTGGAGCACTCTGATCCCCGGTGGTGCCTGGCTCGGTGCCTGTTGGTCTCATGGTTGGTTTCTTGCCCCTCAGCCGCATTAAGAAGGTTGTGTCCATCTATGGCAGCAGCATTGATGTGGAGCTGCAGCAGAGAGCGGTGGAGTACAATGCACTTTTCAAGAAGTATGACCACATGAGGTGAGTGAGATGAGCCGGGCCTCTTGGTCGAGTCTGACCTGCCTAACGCGGGCCAGAGACCAGCATGCACTGACTGCATCAAGACCGCAGCTTGTGCTTGAGCTAAAACATGTCTCCTGGGAACGCCCCAGTCTTGGTTTAAGGACATCAAGTGCAAGAACCCACCATGCACCTTGGGAAGCTTTCAGTGGTTCATGATCCTCCTCGTTAAAAATGTTGGAACTTGGTTGCGTTCACCTAGCCCGTGTGTGCCTCTGTCTGCTAGAGCAGAGTCCCTGTGCTGTCTGATGGTGGCTTCCCGTGTGGATCTCTTTAGGCCCCCACAAAAGACATTCTTCTTCGAGCAGTGTCCCGTGGGCTTGTCCCGGCGCCGCAGATCGGAGATCTTTTCTAGCTGTAGTCTGCCGGACCGCGCATGCGCGAAGTACGGCTCGTGGCTTTTCGCGCCGTTTGAGCGTTGGTGGTCCGGCTCCCGCCAGTTCCTCCTGACCGTCCTCGGCCGCGGACGGATTAATGTCTCTCTCGTGAACTCCTGTTCACAAAGACAGAGAGAGATTACCAATAGTTGTTACATACATAGTTAAAAAAATGTATAGTTATAGTTCTAGTTCTTTCTGTAGTACCCAGACTGGGTACAAGAGCACGACCATGGTGGGAGACAGCCAGTTCCATCGGCCAGCCAGGGCCTCCAGAACCAGCTTCTGGGCACCCTGGAGCTGGGCTTCTGTGGGCGACATTTGAACAGCTTGTCTTATCCAAGCCTCCTCCATCCGGCACGTGTTCCCCAGCTGCCTTCCCACTGGGCTGCCGTAAGAGCTCTGTGGCAACCCAGTAAGGAAAACTGCTTCTAATGGAATTTAGCGCTGGGAACATGATGGAGCCAGCGTGAGGATGGTCAGCTAGCTCCCTGCGACGGTGTAGGAAGTTCTGCTTTCAAGCCAAGAGGGCTGTGAGAAGAGGGTCTGAAGCATTGTGGGGGCTGAGTGCACCCTGCAGGGTGCCGGGTTGGACAGCTTTAGCCACGGGGCTCTGGGCCCTTGGCAATGTGACGCTTCATTTCCTAGCCTGGAGAGGCACATGGCAGTTTGAGCCCAGTCAGCATCATGGGCCATCTGTCGGGGGACTCCCAACTAGGGATGTAAAATTTCCAGTAATTGGCTAATTGAATAGTGGATGCAATTTGCATCAACTGTTGGATTAATCAGTAAGGGCGTCTCCACTTTGGAAGTGAGCAGTAGCCCCAGGGCCGTTGCTACACTTCAGAGGCGAAAGCGCTGCAGGGAGCGTGGGGCCAGCAGGGGACTCAGTCCCTAGCTGAGCCTGGGCTCCACGAGGCATTTCAAAGCGGCAGACCCCGGGCTCCATGCGGTGCTGCCACTTTGAAGCTCCCCCTTCTCCCCTCCCACCACCTCCTTCTGATAGAGGCAGCAAGGAGGGGGAGGAGTCACTAGCCGATAAGCATTTGCATGGGCCTGCCCTCCATTTTTCCTCCATGTCTTCCAAACTACCCCCTCGACACACGCAACCTCTGTGGTCCGCCTGGTAGCTCTCCGGGAGGACTGGAACTTGGGTAAGTCTGCTGCGGGGGTGCTCGTCCTCATTCCTGCCGTGCCTTTTGCTGGGGGAATAACATTCCTGCCAGGAAAACGCCCTCACTTGCTTTAACTTAGCTTCATGTGCAGGAGAGCAGGGACGTCTTCTGTGAGCACCTGTTCCTTGCCCCAGTGTGCTCCGGCCTGGCCGTGCAATAGGACTGTCCCCGGTAGGACTGTCAATACGCAGGCTTACGCTGGGGGTGGAGTGCCCCAGTCTTTCCTCGGCTCAAGCTCAGTTGCATGATGGCAGAATTCGGCTCTTCTCATAGAGCTGAAGGGTAGGGCCAGGCTCCCTCCTCACCTCGGCTTGGCCATCTCAAGCACTTGGGCTTGGGATCAGGGTTGATGGCCCAGCGTGTAACCGTGTCAGCTTCTTACAGGTCAGCCCTGCTCGAGAGAATGCCAGTTATGGAAAAGGTGACCAACGGCCCCACTGAGATTGTACAGACCAATGGAGAGACGGAGCCGGCAGTGCTGGAAACCAAACCTCCCCCCTCTGCGCTGCAGCCCGCCAGCCAGGTAATGGGAGCTGCTCTCTGCCGCTGGCCTGTCAGACCCCTCCTCCCTAGTAAGCCAGGAGCATCCCTCCATCATGTCTGACTGCCTGGTGCAACCTGGCTGTCCACTGGTGAGTGAGACCCAGGGAGTCAGGATGTTGCAAAAACCACGTGCGTGGTTAACGGTTTTATGGCTGTACCTGGAATTTTTCTGGTCAGAAATAGAAGTACCGGTACAAGGTTCCTTCCAGTATCCCTGGCGTGGTCTCACTGTACCTGCATGATTGTGCAAAAAACATTCCTGTCTCTCAAAACTCCCCCCCATTACGTGCACCAGACTTGAGACAGGCCGGGGGTCTGCTTGTTAGAGATCTGGATACGCTGTGGGCAAGGCAGGGCAGGGCAGTCCAGGTTCCCCTACGGAAGCGAAGGCAGCAGGGAGAGGAGTACGTAATTGGGTTTTGTTGCTTCCTTATTAGGCAAATGACTTGTTGGACTTATTGGGAGGAAGTGATATAACCCCCGTCATTCCAGCTGCCCCTACAAGCAAGCCAGCCTCTGCCGGTGGGGAGCTCCTGGACCTCCTGGGAGATCTCAACCTAACCGGTGAGGCAGCCTGATGGGTGGAGCTGGGCTAGGGTAGGAGGGGTGAGTTGCAGGGCATTGCATGCTCTCTCTGGGGGCTGGTCCGTGGCTGATCTGGCAATGGGTAAGAAATGGGTTGGAGTGAACTTTGTCCCCCTCTGTCCTGGGACAGATTCTCAGCCAGGCAGGAGAGGGTTGAGAGGGGTTTTCTGTCTGCCTGAAGAGCTGCTGGCTTCCAAGGAGAGACCCCTTGCTGGTGCTGGCTGCGATGGCACTCACCCTTCAGGAGAGGAGATGGCCCTGTGTGTACTAACAGCAGGTTCCTACTAGCTAATCTGTGAGCTGGGAAAAGCCACTCGGCACTTCCTCCTAGCTAACCGCTGCCTTCTGACTGCTCCCTCCAGGTTCCCCAGCCTCTGTCCCTACGTCTCAGATATCACAGCCTGCGTTCCTCTTGGATGGACTCTCATCACAACCTCTCTTCAATGATATTGCTGCTGGTAGGAGTCCAAAGGCCGTGGAGCGATTGTAACCATCAGGGGGTGCGGAGCTCAGGAGCACTGTGTGAAGGGGTGGAGGAGGAGATGGGATAAGGGGGCGGGGGAGGAGGACAGCCGTTCTGGCCGGAGGCTCTAGGGGCCTGCCAACCTTGAGAATGCTCTCCAGATCCTTATTGGGCTACTGTTCTTGTCCTGTGGCTGCAGGCATCCCTTCCATCACTGCGTACAGCAAGAATGGGCTGAAGATCGAGTTCACCTTTGAGAGATCGAACACAAACCCCAGTGTCACCGTGATCACGATACAGGCCTCCAACAACACAGAGCTGGACATGACAGACTTTGTTTTCCAGGCTGCGGTACCAAAGGTAGAGCTGCCACAGCAGGCTGGGTGGCTAGCCCGCTGTCTTGTCAATGGTTTGCCCCTTGCACACAGGAAGCAAAGCTCCTGGACGCAGGAGGAGTTGAAGCTGTTCTCTTAAATCTCAGCCCGCCCAACTAGGCCCGCGCTCAGACTGTGTGTAGAGTTGAGTAGAACTTTTCGCAGCGGTGCCACAAGGGCGGAGCTTTCCTGGGCCTGGTGCTGCTGGGGGGGTGAAGGGATCCTTCTGGGAAGTCTGATTTAAACCCAGGTCAGCTTTTCTTTGAGCATGAGCAGTGCTTTTTGTGTGCCGGTATGCCCTGGGGCAGCTGGGCTCCCGAAGGAAGTGCGCCCAGGACAGATGGCCCTTAAAGGGGCCACAACCGCATTTCGGCCCCCCAGCGCGGCTTTTTTAGTTTTTTGGCTCAACGACTTTTCCACTCCCCCCCCGCAAACAACTTTGAGCCTGGCGTACCAGCACCTTTTTTCTTACCAAAAATGAGCTATTATCAGCAGACAGAAGGGCCCTTTGACCAGCTCTGCCTCTAAAGCAGGCAGGAGTGAGATGCCTTCCTGTGTCCCGGAGACCGTGCCCCTGTCTGGCGGAGTTGGGAGGTTCTGGGCATGCCTGAGCCGTGGCTCTGCGGGAGAGCAGGCTGCTCTGCGGCTGTGCACAGAGCTGGTTATGGATTAGGAAAGTGTCCAGACTGTGCCTGTCTCCCTGGGAAGCAGCGCGACCCAGCCTCGTGGCAGAATCATGGCTCTGCATGTGTGCTCAGAAGCAGCTCTTCCCTCAGGGCAGTGAGGCTCCACCAGCATTTCTGTCCCTCTGATTTCAGCCTGTGAGCATGCAGCAGAGACTAACCCCCTTGGGAGCTGCAGGCATGCGTGATCCCACCTCTGAAAGGAGAGAGGCCCCAGGCACCCCTGCAAGCAGGGTCTCAGGAGCGCCTTCACCATTGCTGTACAGCAGCAGCTGGTCTTCCCTCCCCATCCTGGCGAGTCATTTTTCTAAAAGGTCTTTCCCCTTTTCTTCAGACATTCCAGCTGCAGCTCCTGTCTCCCAGCAGCAGCATCATCCCAGCATTTAATACGGGGACCATCACACAGGTCATCAAAGTTCTGAACCCACAGAAGGTGAGCAGTCCGCTGGCCTGGTTCTCCTGGCTTCTGGGGAGACTGGGATGTGTAGAGCTGCTTATTCTCAAGCAGCCATCTCTAGCAATTAGCCCAAGAGTGATGGCTGACGGTGTGACAGTGGGTATTGTTAGGGTTGCAGTATTGATGTAGCCAGGAGGCTCGAGAGACAAGCTATTACTTCACCCACCTTGTCAGTGCAGTGTAGCGGTAGCCAGAAAAGGGCTGTGAGAAGACCTTTGTCTTGGGTCAAGCCAATGACCTATCTTAAGAACTACTGGGTCAGACCAATGGTCCAGCTAGCCCAGGATCCTGGCTTCCAACGCTGACCAGGCAGATGCTTCAGAGGGTGTGAACAAAATAGGGCAGTTACTGAGTGATACCTCCCCTGCTGTCTAGTTCTGGCAATCGGCAGTTTCCAGAACACGTGGCTGCATTCCTGGCCACCTTGGTTAATCGTCATTGATGGACCAGTCTTCTACAGACTTCTCTAATTTAACCCAGCTGTACTTTACCCGGCAACAAGTTCCAGAATTTCACCGTGTGAAGTACTTCCTAATGTTCATTTTTAAACCTGCTATTAATTTCATGGGATAACCCCTGATGGTGGTGTTATATGAATTAATACATAACACTTCCTTTTTCACTTTCTCCATGCCGTTCATGATTTTACAGACTTCTATCATATCCCCTTGGTCGTTTTATTTTTAAGATGAACAGTTCTGTCTTTTACTCTCTCCTTAGATGGAAACTTCCATTCCCCTAATAATTTTTGTTGCCCTTCTTTACACTTTTTCTAATTCTCATAATCTTTTTGAGACCAAAGCTACACGTGGTATTCAAGATGTAAGCATAACAAGGAGAACGGGGTAAAAAACAGAGTCATGTCATGCTAGGGGTCTACTAGAGACCACCTCATCAGGAAGAGGAGGTTGATAAGGCTTTTTAAAATTAACAAAATCATCCAAAGCGCACCACTTGGTGGTGATGGAAGACTTCAACGACCTAAAGAGCCATTTAGACAATGACAAAGTGGGGCATAGATTATCCAACAGGTTCTAGGAATGTTTTGGAGATAATTTTTCTATTTCCGAAGATGGCGAAAGCTAGTAGGGGAGAGGCTGTTCTAGATTTGAGTTTGACAAATAAGGAGTAATTGGTTGAGAATTTGAAAGAAGGCAGCCTACATGAAAGTGATAATGAAACAATAGAGTTCATGATTCTACAGAATGGTGATAGGAAAACCAGCACAATAAAGAAAATGGATTTCAAGAGGGCAAATTTTAGAAAACTCAGGACATTACTAGGTGAGATCCCATGGGAAGCAAGTCTAAGATGGAAAAACAGTTCAAGAATAGATAGTTTTTGAGAGAGACATTAAGGGCAGAAGAGCCAACTATCTCATTGCATAGGAAAGATAAGAGATCATCAGTGATTTGAAGCTCAAAAAGAGTCCTACAAAAAATGGAAACGAGCTTAAATTACAAAGGATGAATGTTAACAAGCAACACAAGTATGTAGGGGCAAAATTAGAAGAGCCGAGGTACAAAACAATCTTAAACTAGTTGGAGACAAAGGGTAACAAGAAAACATTCTACAAATACCTTAGTAGTAAGAGGAAGACCAAGGACAGGGTACGTTATGTGTATGTGGGGGGGAGAACAGCACAAGAAATGTGGACATGGCAGAAGTGCTTGTAATGCCACTTAGAACTGGGTTACCATTGAGTCCCCCTGACTCCCCTTCCCGTTCCCAGCCTGGGCTGTCTTTACACTGTCCTGCTGTGACAGGCTCAAGCTCCTTCCGGCACACACGTATGTGCAGGCAGGTGCACACAGCTGTACTTTCACACAGATGCTGAGATCAGCTCTGAATGGGAAGACTCAGCCAAGGAACTTCCCAGTTACTCAAGTACACACCCCCTTTCGGGGTGACCCCACTACTAAATGATCTTGTACTGCACAGAGAACTGTATGGAGTGTTCGCTCATGAAATTCACCCCCTCCCTCAATGTGGAGAGGAACCACACACAGCATTCTGCCCCACGCTAAGACCCACATGTTGCTTTTATATAAACCGGATTTGAAGCGGTTATAAGTGATCCCAAACAGATCAAAGCAGGTTACCTAGCAAATAAACAAAGCCACAAACTGAACTTCGCAAACGAGGTAGCATATGAATTAGCAGATTCTCAGCCTGGATGATACAAGTTGACAGATGATTAAGGCAGAAGATGCCTTGGCTTTTCAACTAGGGTTTCCCAGGTTTTCATACGCAGGCTAGAAATCCCTCTAGCCTCAGCCCATCACTTCCAGTAGTTCAGTCTTTGTTCCTCATGGGTTTCCAGGTGTGCTGTTGTAAGGGAGGTCCCGCTCCCTGATGTCATTGTCCCTAATTTATACCTTCCCACTGACTGGGGATGTGCGCAGCTAATCGTCTATCCAATAAGCAAATGCTTATCAGGTAGTCAAGTAGCCACTCGACTAGTCGCTCCCCTTCCTTGCTGCCTCTATCAGAGGGGGCGACAAGGGGGGGGAGCAGGAGCCGGAGCTGGCTTTAAACGTCTCTGCGGGGGACAAGGGAGGCAGAGGCACAGTGGGGAAACGGTGCAAGCAGGGCTTGCTTCAGTCTCTGCTGGCACTGGTTCTCGTTGCTGGTGCTTCTCTTTTGAAATGTACAGGAGTCCTCCAGGGGAGTGCAGCAGGGAGCGCGGGGTGAGCAGGGACTCAAGCAGACCCCTCTCGCCCCGTGTTCTTTGCGGTGCCCGAGGGGACAGGAGCTGGTGCTGGGGGGAGCTGGCTTAAAGGATTGTTCCCTCCAGCACCGTCTCTAGGATACCACCCGCCCCCCTGCTGCAGAGCTGAGCCCCCCGTGGACAGGGGCTTTTGCCACCAAGCAGCCCCTGTTTGCGGCACCCAGCACTGGCTGCGGGCAGGGGCTGCTCAGGCAGCAGCCCCTGTCTCTGGCCATACCTGGCTGGTGCGGTGGCTATGGTACATTTAAAATGCAGAGCAGCAGCGTGGGCGGAGCAACCTCTTCGGCCCTGCACAGCAGCGCTTATCGACTAATTGTCTAGTCAGTGCTGTACAATAATCGCATTTGAACATCCTCAGGTCCGATATGGGTCTAACAGTTCCCATTGTATAGTGCTAGCTCGGAGAGGCTTCTGTTGTGCACTGTTCTGTGGTGGTTCTTGTGCATGTGTGCATTTCCCCAATCAGTCATTAACATTATTCGGCCTTTTTATTGTTGTACCCGGAAGGCTGCTTGTAGGTGCTTTTCAACCTCACATATTCAGTAGCATGTACGTAACCAAGCTCCATAATGTCACACATGACAAGAGTACATGAACCCTGCAAGATATTAATGTATAGATAGATTTGTTAAGAACATACCGTGTCAAACCAAGCCTTGTGGCTAAGGGGAAACCAGCAGCCATGGATAGCTAAGAGTTTTTAGTAAGGCTTTTGATAGTGTCACATGATCTTCTCATAAACGAGGGGAAATACAAGCAAGATGGAGCTACTCTAAGGTGGGTGCATAACTGGCTGGATAACCATTCCCAGAGAACAGTTCTCAGTGGTTCAGTTATACTAGAATTACATGATGAGTGGGGTCCCACAGGGATCAGTTCTGGTCTGGGTCTGTCCACTGTCTTCATCAGTGAGTTATCATGGCGTAGGAGTACACTCCTTACGTTTGCAGATGTAACAGGGTCGGACGCACTGCTGTGGCATCTCTGGCTAGTTACTCCAGGAATTAGCTCTGTTCCTCAGCGGGGCAGTGTCTGGTGGCCAGTGTGTCTCTCTTCTCCGCTCTGCTATCTCCACTGTCTGGACCCCCATCACTCCTTAGTTTGTGGTATCCTCTGTCTTTCCCCCTTCCGGGGGTATCAGTCACCCTCAGCCCTGGCACCTGCTTGAGCAGCTGACTGCAGCCCCAAGTCTAGCCCCTTGCCTCATGGACAAGCTGCATCCTGTATAGGCCACATGGTGTAGAGGCCAGGTGTGGTGCAAGGGGGAACCCAGCCCCACCCCGCTGCTCTAGGTCCCAACCCAGGGGACCCTCTGTCGGCAGTAATCCTTTCTCCTGTTCCCTGTCACTCTTTCACCTTCTTGGCCCTTGTATCCAGGCCACAGCCTGGGAGGTAACTGGTTGGAGTCTCTCTCCAGCTCCCCTGAGCCTGCCCAGCACTGCTCTCTCTAGGTGCTCCTTCTCCCTTCCTGGCCAGAGCAAGTGTGAGCTCCTCTCAGCCCTGTAGCCTTTTATAGGACCCAGCCTAGTTCTGATTGACCAACTGCTTCTCCTCTGAATGGCCAAGCTTGCCCAAGCCTCCTCCAGTCTGTCTGTAATGCTCTCCCTCCTGGAGCGGGCTACAGAACCACCACCGCAGAGTATACCATGCTGGGAGGGGTTGTAAGTGCTTTGGTTTTGAGGATTAGAAAGCTCTTGCCTGTGTTAGATCAGCATTGGCATTAAGTGAGTAACAGCCTACCAGATTCACTGCCACCACACCCGATAGCCCCCGTAACACAAGGGTGTCTGACAGCAGGGGCTAGAGCTGGTGCTTCCTCCAGAGGTGACCAGTCAGGCTCTACAGAGGGAGGTGGTTGCAGGAGGGATTGCGAGTCTCGGGTTTACCGAGGACCCTGATTTTGTTTTTTCCTCTCTACTTATAGCAACAGCTCCGTATGCGGATCAAGTTGACCTATAATCACAAGGGCTCAGCAATGCAGGATCTAGCAGAAGTCAACAACTTCCCCCCCCAGTCCTGGCAGTGAGCTCTGGCACCATTCTTACTCACCCCACCCAATCAAAGAAACTCTGGGAAGAAGGTTGTGATCCCTGGCAGTCCCCCACACTGCACCATGAACCTGGGGAACGATGGGACCTGCTGAGGAGCAGGAATCTTCCCGAAGTGATGCTGATTTTGAAGCATATCTGTTAAGACTAATTTCCTCCCCTCCACTGATGAGGCTTGCTGCTTGTGGAGGCTGCTCTGCACTCCCCCATGCATTCCCAGCCGGAAGCAACATTCCCTTCCTCCCAAGAAACCTGCAGCGTGTTTGGAAGAGAGGACTGGAATTGCTTGCAAGGAAACACTTTTTTCTGTCTCTCTCCCACTGTTCATTGAGTGAGCAGCTATCCCTCCTTTCTGCTGCCTTCTTTCTATGGGCTGGGTGAAGTAGTTTTGAGTTATTACTAGCTGGGTTACCATCTTCAGGCATTTTCATGTGGAGTTGGAGGAGACGCTTATCCAGAGACCATTAGAGAGCCCTGTCTTTTCTTTGGAGGGAGGGAGGGAGGTTCCCGCTTTGTGTGAGGAGGCTGTTGGCTCCTGGTGGCCTGTTCTGTGCATTGTTGTACACATGCGAACACCTTAGCTGTACGCTCCCCACAGCAGGTCAGAGACCGAGCGCAGGACGAGATGAGATGTGACCCATTGATTTGGTGCTGTATTTGAATGGTAAGCCCTGAGACTTTGGTTTCCTCCACTTTGCATCGTTGGTTGCAGCCATGCAGACTCTCAATGGCTCTTCTGTAGCTATCTCCCCAAAAAGCATCACAATGGACCAGAGACCTAGAGTGCCAACCCTCCCCCATGCTCAGAATTTCAAAACTCATATTGCCCCTTCCCTTGGCTGTTGGCTGTGGTAGGTCGGTAGAAAGGCAACGTTCCGCTCTATTGATCGTTTTTGGGTAAAGGTTCCATTGCCTGCCGGGAGGCTTGGCACAGGCTACACTGCAAAGTCACTTTTCCCTGTTACCCCAGGCCCTTCCCCCTTCCATTTCCCACGTCTGTCATAGACCCCTGGATTCCATCCGAGTTCATTCTTCTGACTGGGATGTTTGTTGTATCTGTAACATTGGCACTGAAATAAAGATCGTGCAGTTTGAAGAGACCTTTCCCACTTCGTACTTAATGGTGGTGTAACGAAACCCGGTTGTTCCTTGCTCCCCTGTCAGTGAAGTCCTGTCAGTCCAGAGTGGCACCCACATTGATTCTCAAACTGAAAGTAACACAGCAAGATATTCGTTGTGTGGAGACCAATTTCTTGAGCAGCTGGGTCCGATGACCTGAGGTCTGGTGCTCTTCTGTGCTATGTCAGTGGTTTCCAGAGAAGAGCGATGTATTGCTGCATTGCACATTTGTTAATGTGTGGTGTCAGCCAGGTAGTGGCCCATGAGCCCTAGGGGAGAGGTGAAGAATGGAAGCCAAGGCCCTTAGCCACCCTCTCTCACTATGCGTGGTGTTGTGCACCCTCCAGGATTGGGGAAGGGCAGGGGCACATCTTGGATTTTCTTCCTTTGAGCATATTGGCATGCTAAGTCGAGTCTCATCTCCAACCCTGATGCTTTCTTAAAGGAAACTGGTAACAAATCTGCTTTACTTCTCCCACAGAGCCATCAGTGGTGTCTCAGCCAGTCTAGACCTGTATCCTGCGCATGGTCTCCTAGGGCTGACTGACACCAGCCCCTGGTCTTCACTGGAAATGTTTCCAGCTCTCAGTGTAACTGATATGGGTACAGGGTCAGATGTTTGTTAATTGTTGATGGGTGGTCAGAGCAGGTTGTGAGACTACAAGTGTGGGGGATGCTGGACAGTTAAGGAAAGCAGGAAGAGCCGCTCTGCCTTTGCCTTTAAAAAGTGGTTGCTAAAGATTGCTGTTCAAACTGATATTAAATAATACTGCAGCTTAGCACAGTGCTTTGTGTAGGATTGAGGGGTAAGTCCCTGCAGCAACACTAGTGGCCTCACACTCTGAGGCCAATGTGGAGGGAGCAGCGGAAGCCTTTTTGATTAGAGTAGAAGAGTAGCTCCAGCATTCTGCTGCTATTGGTATCGGGTTAAGGCTAAAACTTGCAAGGAAGACTAAGCTGTAGTCAAACAGCGTCCCCCTTGAGAACAGCACTGGTCCTGGTTCTGGCATTCACAAGAAGAGCAATGTCTTGGTGGTGAGGTGTCTGCTTCGGACAGAAGTATAAAGATACAGCACTATTTAACAGCTGTGAAAGGGTCTGCACTTAAAAGTGCAGAACATTACTTCCCCAGTCGCTTCAGCTATAAGTGAAGGTAATGATGTGCCTCCCTCTGATTCAGAAATGCTTTGGGATATCAAGCTAATGGAAAGTTTGTGCCTTAGTTTCTGTGAATTCTCCCATTCTCCTCAGTGGAGGCTGCACCTGCCACAAAGTCACTCGTTACTGTGAAGTTCCTTTTTCGTAGGAAGAGCAGTGATGCTGGAGCATTAGTGAGGACAGCTAATGCTGCAGAAGCAATGGTAATGCTGGCCTGTTGACGGCTGTACAGTTGGATGCTGAATACCTCATTGCTTCAGGTGCTGTTACATCATTTCTTCTGGAGCATCGTGGTGTGCCAGTAGGGTTCCAAGTAGAAGCTTGTAGGGATAACTTCCTCCTGTATATATGGCTTCTCTTCAGACTCATTCCATGGAAGACATGGTTGCATACATATGGAGCTCTCTGCATTTGACACGCAGTTTTGGTGCAGTTGACCTAAGTTCAGGAGAATGGAAACGGCAGAGTGAGTGGTGTGGATTGTGCACCTGTAGGCATTTGAGGCCATCCTTTGGCTGTGAGGTAATCTTCATGAAGAGATTAAGCATTTCTGCCATCTTTGGAGGTCTCTGCCTTTCTCTTGCTGGGGAAATGGTGCTAACACCATACGACAGCAAGGGAGAGTTTCACACACCTAGTGATCAATCCCTTTGTTTGCTACTTGACTTGGGCATGTCTCTTAATCCCCTTTTCTGTTTCCTTGTTTGTAACTTGGATGCCCACCTCTGTAAAGTGCTTTGAGCGCTGTTTACATTCACATTAATGGAATGGGACAGTTGTTCACGTTCGGTTGCTTGCACCTCTCATAACATGCATCCTGTTTTAATGTGGAGGGACAGTGCTAAAGGCAGGATGCAGACTGAAGGTTAACCTTCCAAACACTCTGCATAGGGAGTTTGGGGCTTGGAGAAGATGGTGAATGTCTTTTCCCTATCCCTGAATGTATTAATGTCTTTGAGCCATGAGACAGCAGAAGGAATAGGAGCTGTATCAGGCTGAAAAGAGAGGAGATGGGGAGGAGTCAGTAAAGGTCCTTAAATTGGATTTTGTGCAGCTTGTTGGGGGAACAGCACATGGAATTAATATGAACAACTCTTTTTCAAGCAATAGCAGTGAGTAGCTGCTGCCTACACAGGGCTTTGGATATTTAACTCAAGATGCTGAAGCAGCTGGGACAGGCAAATTTCATTCCTTTACCTAGGACTGGTTCTGGAGCAGCAAGGATGGCTTTTTAGACCTACTGATGTGCTTTCCATGTGTTTATTTTCTGCTTTGGGGGCTGAGAGGAAAGGAGCCATTGGTCGCTTCCCTCTGTGAACTCACTTGATTCCTGTAACCCCTTTTTTTTCCTCAAGTTGTAAGTTACATTTTACATGGAACCCCATCCCATCTTCTGGACTGTAAAAAAATGAATGAATGAATGAATGAACTTACCCTTTTTGAGAGGGGAGGCTGATGATGTTCTAACTATTGCAGATTTTTGAGATGTGAAAAAAAATAATTAAATGCTAAGTCTTAGAGGTGAGTGAGGAGCAATACAGATGTAAACATTTACATGGGATGCATTAGAATTCTGCTGTGTGTATTGTCTTTCAGTTGAAACAAATTATGAAGTGACTAATAAAGTCAATACTCAGTGATTTAAAACTGTCTGCTTACTTTTTTCTAGCATGGGATATTAGCTACATGACCACCAGGCTAATCACTAGTGGACATGAGAAGGCCAGGTACCTGGAATAGCCTGAGTAGTGACCACTAGAAATGCCACAGAGTCCAACCAAATTTCCCTGTACACTCAGGCTTACTGATCTGTAATTGCCAGGATCACCTCTGGAACCTTTTCAGAAATTGGCATCACATTACTTATCTTCCAGTCATTGGGTACAGAAGCTGATTTAAATGATAGGTTATAGACTATAGTTAGTAATTCTGCAATTTCACATTTGAGTTCCTTCAGAACACTTGGGTGAATGCCATCTGGTCTTGGTGACTTGTTACTGTTTAATCAATTTTTTCCAAAACCCCATCTAATGACACCTCAATCTAGGACAGTTCCTTAATTTTGTCACCTTAAATGGCTCAGGTTTTGGAATCTCCCTCACATCCTCATTCATAGCCCTGAAGACCGATAGAAAGAATTCATTGTGTCTCCGCAATGGCCTTATCATCCTTGAGTGCCCCTTTGGCACTGTGATTACTGAGTGGCCCCACTGGTGGTTGAGCAGGCTTCCTGCTTCTGATGTACTTTGAAAAATTACTATTGGTTTTCAAGTCTTTGGCTGCTGTTCAAATTTATTTTTAGAACTTCCTAATTATATTTTTACACTCTATTAGCCAGAATTTATGCCAGGGGTCTTAAACTGATGGCCCACAGACCATCCCCAGCTGGAGCAGTTGTGCAGTCCGTCCCGGGAGTCCCAGCAGGCTGGGAAGGGCAACTGTCCCTATCCCCCAAGCTCTGCCCCTCCCACTGCTCCATCCTCTCCCTCCATGGCACCCATCCAAAGTTCCCTGTAAGCTGCTTGGACTCACAGCTGTTTTCTGAACCCAGTTCAGACCGCATGTACAGGCAGGGAGCTAAGCTGATCGGTGAGGGGAGGAGCAACTTCGAACAGAGGTTCCTGCTTGAAACAGAGGAGCTCCCAGAGGAGGTAAGGAGAGAATAGGTGGTTGGGAGGGAGGGCGTAATTGGCTGGAGGGGAGGGAAGTTTGGAGAGTCCCATCTACATGAGAAGAGAGGTGCAGAGGCAGAAATGCAGCACTCTCCTCAAGCCTTCTGGGCTTGGAAGTGGGAGGTAATTGGCTGATGGCGTGGGGGAGAGGAGGTGGGTGGGTGGGTGTTGGTATTGGGGTGAGGCGGGGGAGAGGTGACGAGTGAGTTTGTGCTGTGTGTCCTGTAAGCTGCATGTGCCTGCAAGTTGGAGAAGCAGGATTTTATCCCAACCCCCAGCTGGCCTGGGAGGGAGCAGAATGCCCTGGGATAGGTGGGGGGAAGAGGGTGAGTAGGTGCTGGCATCGGTGGAGAGGGGGCAGTTTGGGGTGTCCTGACTCACTTGCTGCAGTCCTCTTTGGCTGGGTTGGAGGAGAAAGTAGGCTGCATGTGTGTGTGCGCGCCAGGACATTTGCAGGATTACATTTCAAACAAACTTTACATAGGTGTTAATGGCTTACGGTAAGAAAGGAAAAAAAATCTTTTAACAATTTTTTTGGAGTGTTGCAGATATCTAAAACAATGATCTTAATGATTTTTTAAAAATCCTGTGTTATTAACTAATACATGGTATATTGTATTGCATTAAGGCCAGATCTTTGCTATGTGGTAGAGTTCTGGCTCTTATGAATCAAAAGTGGCAAGTACTAGGTATGTTGTTAGTTATTTGTAGGATGAAACCTTATTTGCATGGTCTTTGAAACATGCATCTTTCTACAAACCCTGAAGCCATGTGATAATTTGTTTTGGGGCTTGTATTCTTTGAGTTGGTGACACACATGCAAGGTGAAAGTTTCAAACCAGGAGAACTTTTATCTATTTTTACAGCATGGATCCTAAACATTCCCCAGAGAAACAGTATAAGCTTGAGTGAATGCCTTTTACTCTCCTTTCCAGTGTCAGTAAATATTGTATTAGTCATGATCTCCTTGCAAATATTTCTAGTTGGCTCATAGATTTGTTTAGCATCTTAAAGCTGAGCTATGTGTGGATAAGTGTTTTGGTGTGTTTACTAGCTTGAATTGGTAGGATGATGATACATGTACTCCAGGGTAGTATTAATTGCCTTTTTTAAATTTCATAGTAAATATCGTGAGCATTGCTCTTTGTTCAATATGCCTTCTTTTAATATATTTTCTTCCACACATACGGACTGTTTATATGGTTTTTGTTTGTGTAGGTGGTGCACATCCACACAGTACCTCAATATTAGTGCTGCACAGAAGAACCCACCCAAAGATAGAAAATGTTAGAGGGAACACTGACCCCTATTCCTGAGAGATACGGCCTCTGGGATTACCTAGGGGGCCTGCAGTGGAAGGAGCCATGGGAAAAGAGTGCAGTTGCTCCACGGCGAACTGCTTCCCCGTGGCTCCTGCTGTCACAGGGAGTGAAGTGGGGGCCCGACGACTGCTGACACTCTGCACCAGGTCCCCTGGTAATCCCCAAAGCCACGTCTCTTGGGGGCTGTGGGTCATAGGGGGGAAGGATGGGAGGATGGTAGCTAGAAGGGGCAGCCTCTGGCCTGCTGAGACTCCTAGCCAGACGGTGCAACTGCTCTAGCCAGGGATAGCCTGCAGGCTGTGAGTTTGAGACCCCTGGGCTACATCTACACTGCAGGCTTCTTGTGCAAAAATTTGCGGAGTGTCTTCACTGCACATGTGTTCTCGTTCAAGTCAATTTACAATAAAGCATCGGAACAGAGGGCTTCTTGCGCAAGAGTTATTCCTCTCCCCACGAGAAATAAGCCCTCTTGCACAAGAAGGCAGTGTGGATGGGCAACAGGGGTTTCTTGCGCAAGAAACCCCTATGGCTAAAATGGCCATCAGAGCTTTCTTGTGCAAGAGCGCATCCACACTGCCATGGACACTCTTGCGCAAAAGCACATTGCACCATGGGCACGCTCTTGCACAAGACCTTTTGCGCAAGAACTCTTGTACAAAACAGTTCTTGCACAAGAAGCCTGCAGTGTAGATGTAGCCCAGATGTATGCTTCTATTTTCCTCACTAGGATTTCCACTTTCTAAATTATGCCTTTTTGTGTCTCTGCTTCCTTTACTTTGTTCTTTAGCCATTGTGACACTTCTTTTTTTACTTTTTTAAATTTGGGGTTATACAGTATATTTAAGTTGATCCTCTATTATGGTGGTTTTTAAAGAGTTTCCATGCAGCTTGTAGGGATTTCACTTTTGCCACTGTACCTTTTTATTTCTGTTTAACTAACCAGCTCATTTTAGCAAAGTTCCCCTTTCAAAAATTAATGCTATAGTGTTTAGCTACTGTTTCTCCTGCCACAGGGATGTCAAATATAATTATATTGTGGTCACTATTAACAAGCAGTCCCACTATATCAGCGGTGAACAGCCTGCAGATCATATGCAGCCCACTGGGGTTCTGTGTGTGGCCTGAAAGACATTTTGTTCACCAGCTTCAGCGGGTAGCTGCGTTAGTCTGTACAGGATAAATTTAAACAACCAATGCACTTTATAGATTAACAAAACATGTCGATGGTATCATGAGCTTTTGTTGGCACAGCCCCCTTCTTCAGATGACCAGAGTTTTGAGTTTAGGATGTGCAGACCCAAAATAAATAGGGGAGAAGAGAGAGGGGGAAAGAAAAAATGGAAGGGGGTGGGAAACCAGGAGCACAAGGTATGAAATATCAAAGGGGAAAGCAAATAGGCAGAACTGGTAATCTATAAGCACTTAGTCGGTGCACAGGGTTGCCAAATTCAGCTGGTTTCCATCAGCGTAGTCTTTTTTTTTCCCTCCACAGCAGTGGTTCTCAAACTTTTTGGGCTCTGGAGCCCTTTACATGTGTAAAAAATGTATGCGGATTGTCGGTGGTGTACCTATCGATGTTTCCGGTTGGTGAACCTCACAGAGGCCCTGGAGATGGCTCCGTGGAGCAGAGTTTGAGAAACACTGCCCTACCGGCATTACTCAAGTGACACACAAAGCAAGGACATGTGAAGTGAGGTGTGTGCTAATTGCTCGCAACATTGACTGAGCTGTGTGCTCCCTCTACATCTTACTGAAGTGCTGCTATGCTTCAATCAGCATATTGAACTGGTTCTAGGTATGGAAGCACAGTTAGCAAAACTACCCTATTTCAGGAGTTTGCCTTGGTTACAAGTGTTGCAGCTCCCTGAGAGGGAGGGACACTCATGAGGCCCACTTGCTAGCCCAAGATTGCCCATTGATGAGCCAACCAGAATTTGAGCTGTTGATCACTACCTGTTGAGCCTGATGATCTAGGCAGCTTTCTATTCACCTTACAGTCCATTTACCAAATCACTACTACTTGAACTTGCTGACAAGAATACTGTGGGAGACTATCAAAAGCTTTCCTAAAGTCAAGGTATATCACATCCACTGACTTCCCCATGTCCACAGAGCCAGTTACCTTGTCCTAGAATGCATTCAGGTTAGTAAAGCATGACTTGCCCTTGGAGAATGCATGTTGACTATCCCTAATCGCTTTCCTCTCTTCAAGTGCTTCAAAATGGATTCCTTAAGGATCCCCTCCATGATGTTTCCAGGGTCTGACATGAGGCTGACTGGTCTGTAGTTCCCTGGATTCTCCTTCACTTTTCACATTTGCCTTTTTTTCCAACCATCTGGGGCCTTCCCCGACAGCCACAAGTTTTCAGAGATACTGGCCAGTGGCTCTGCAATCACCTCAGACAACTCCTTCAGCACCCTCAGACACATGACATCCGGCCCCATGGAGCTGTGCGTATCTAGACTGTGTAAATAGTTCTTAACCTGCTCTTTCTCCACTGTGGGCTGCCCAGTGCAGCAGGCTGGGAGCTGCCCTTGTCTGTGAAGACAGAGGCAAAAAAACACGGAGCACTTCAGCTTCCCGCATCATGGGTCACTGGGTTACCTCCCTCCCCCAGTCACAGACACATGACATCCGGCCCCATGGAGCTGT